ATTAAAAATACCTAAAATTGATTGAGCTAATTTTTGTTTCTTCAAATTACCAGGACAAAGTCTTAAAGAGTATTTATAACTTTTAAGAGTGCACCAAGGACCATTAATAGGCATTGCATGTTTAATAGTAACAGGATCACTCACATCAGTTTCATAGTATAATTCACTTTTATCTTTTATTTTAAAAACAATTGCAATTCCATATTCTATTCTTGGTGGATAAAGAAACGATTGTTTACCAGTGAGAAAAAATCCACCAACAGGAGAAGTTTTATTATCAATTGTTTTTGTTACTTGATTACCTTGAACCCAAATCACATTACTTAATGTTTGTTCTTTCCAACACTTAGACATAACTAATGCCATATAACTAGCTTCTTTCATTACTTTATCTTTAATTTCTTCTTTCATTTTACATGTATCTTTAATAATAATTGAACTAGCTCCTTGAACATTACAATGTAAATAAATATCATCTGTCTGGAGATATTTATTGTAAATAACATCATTTTGAGCTGCATTCATTCCACCCAATATTAATACTGTCTCATCTCTATCTTTACTAATAAAGTAATTAAACTTTTCAAACCAATACTTTTCTCTTTTCTGTGGTTCTAATTTCTTTTTCGGTTCGTACTTAATTGATAAATTTTTCATTGCTTCTATTGTCTTAATTCTTTTATCATCATATTTCTTTTTTTCATTGTATAACTTTTGTATATTTTTATCAATATTTAAGCTTAAATCTAATACAAATTTTTCATTCTCTAATACAACTGTACACTTCTTTTTCATTAAATCATAAGAATCAACTAATTTTAAAATTTCATCATTTTCCTTTTTAAATTCTTCATCAAATACACTCCACGTCATTTTCGTATCATAAACATTCTTAAAATACTTCAATATATAAGATATATTTTCTCTATTTTCCTCAAGGATACCAGCTAAATTATCTACTCTTTCACTATTTCTAGTTAATTTTTTAACATACTTTGTTTGTGCCATATTAATTTTTTCACCTCTTGATAAATTAATCTTCTTTATTTTTAATTTACTTCTATTAGAAAATAGAAAATTTAATGCTTGATTAAATGAATTAAATTCAATAAATTTAGTGTCTCTTGTAATTTCCTTTTCTATCATTTCATTAGTAATTTTTTCTTTAACATAAATTATTTCATTTTCATTAATATCATTATTTGATTTAATTTTATATTCTTTATAACTTAATGATATACAATCATTAGGTTTTTCATTCTTAATAAAAACTAAACCTTCATATTTTTTATTACTTAAATTTGTAATAAAATTTTTAAGTAAATTAGTTTTATCTTCACTCTCATCAAAATCTTTTTTGATCAAATCAATTAATAATGAATTTATAGGTAAATCCTTTAAAGTATTAAAATTTAAATCATTCTTACCAAACAAATACTTCTCTTTCTTTATGATATTCAAACTAGGTATTGGTCTATAAATTTCTATAATAAAGTCATCTTTATCTAATAAAATAATATTACCACCACTAAAGAACTCCATGACTATTTTATAATTATATAAATCTATAATTACTTTTCTATCCCAACCAACTTGATTTATATCAATAATCTTACAGTTTCTGATTTTCTCTCTCAGCTTTTTACAAAAGAAACTAATTTCATCTCCTTTAGTGTCGGTTAGATGTATTCTTATACCAGCTTCAACCATTATGATTTCCTTGGATGATAACTTAAAATAAAAGGATGCTTGTTTATGACTGTAGATGTTCTGAATGTACTTATTTGTTATTATGTCTTTTAATTCATTTGTAAGTACTCTTATGTCTAATGCGTTTAAATTTTCTTTCATAATAAAAAATTTTATTAAAAACAAATAACATGAAGAAATATCATAGATTGCTAAATATTGAAGTTGAGTTTTTAAACAATTTAATCTACAGAGGTAATAACCAGTTTAAGAATAACTTAAGACATAGAAAGATGATTTTATTAAGTAGACTAATTAAGAAATCTAATTATTCTAAGATTGTAAACACCTGTGAAGATATTTATATAATTTGTAGTAGTGAAGCAGTATTAGGTCACTTTTTAGATATTAATTTTACAGTAATGGCTTTAGTTGCAAGAATAAGATATTTAATTATAAAATTATTTTAATAAAAAAATAAATTTATACTTTTTATGTATCAAATTGATAGTTATTTTCTATTAAAATTTTTATAAACAAATTTTAATAGAAAATAATTTATCCCTAATTTATGTTGAGTTTTGAAGAAAGATTAGCAACCTTTCAAAACTGGCCACGAAAATTTACAGAAACTTTTATAAATAATTTGTGCGTGTTAGGTCATTATTCAATTAGAGAACTAACTGAAGGCTTCATCACTAAATGTATATACTGTGATTCTGAACACAATAATTGGGATATAAATGATGATCCATTTACAGAACATAAGAATAGTAATTGTCCAATCTTTTCTTTACATACAAAAATAGGAAGAGAGAAAGTAAACAGCCTAACTAATTTCAGCTGCTCTTGTAAAGCTATTTGTATAGAACTGAGAAAAAACACAAAATTTATATTTTGTCCATCATGTGGAAAAAACAAAGAATTCAGTGATATTGAAAGTGCATTAGTCCACAGTTGTTGTGACTGTGTTTCAGTTAAGAAAATCACAGCTAAATCAAATAATTACTATGTTGACTTTTTTAAGGGAAGATACAACTCAATGATTCTTCAGTATTTAAATCCAAAATCTCTATCAATTAATGAATCAGATTTAGACTTAATTGAATACGTTGTATCAAATTCTAATACTTCTTTATTAAGTCCTGCAATTGAATCAATTGAAATTGGTTTAAATAAATTAGCAAAAGAAATTGAATCTGAATGTGTAAAGATTGAAAAAGAAAAAATTAGTAAAATTGAATTGGTTTAAATAAATTTCAAACATAATTTTATTACTCAGATCTTATAGAACCATATTTAGCAAGATATTCTTCTCTTTCTTTTTGGATCTTTTCTTTTTGAGCGAGTTTAGCTTTTTTATCAGCTTCTTTCCTCTCTGCAATTTTATCATCTTTTGGAAGAATTACTCTCAATCTTGGCATTCTCTTGCTTGTATCTTCACGATTTTCTTTAATAAACTTTCTAATGTTGCTTCCTTCTGGTAATCCAAATTCTTTACAAAGTTTTGATAATCTCTTTGGAAGATGTGATTTATCATTAAAACAATCAGTCAATCCTTCAATTACTTTGTTTTCTCTAATAAGACTCATATTGAGAACTTGAATTTCATTTGATACTCTTGATCCTCTAACTGACTTTCTCTTTCTAACTCCTTTTACTCTACACTTGTAACCAACATCTCCTTCTTTCAACAATTCTTTTCTTCTCTTATCAGTATCATAGCTTGCTGACATACAAAATCCTTGGTAGTCATTTCCCCCGTTAATCTGTAAAATGCTTCCTTCAAATTCTGGAAACAACAATCCTCCATCAAACTGATCTCCTATTTTCTTGCTATAAAGTTTTTGTTCATCTTTTCTTGACAACTCAAAACACTTCTGAGTACCGTTAGCTGGATACGCAATGTTTAACTTCATTTAATTGGGGTTAAAATTTTTTTTAAAAAATCAGATTTTATTGATTTCTTCTTTTAAATCGTTTATCTCTTCTATACAAAGTCTACATTCAGTCTCATCTTGTGTATCAATTACTTCTTTTACTTTCTTTACTATTTCCATTAATTGGTTTGTTATTTGTTTAAATTGATTATCTTTCATCAGTGACTTTAAAAAATTTTAATATTTTATTTTGAAAATTTATATTCAGAATTTAAACCATCAAAAATAATAAAAAATATAAATTATTATCAAAAATAACTTTAAAATTAACACATTTAATAAACTTTATTAGTAAATTAACCTCTTTTATTTTTGACATCATTTTAAATTTATAAAAAAGATTTTTAACCCTTAATTATGATAGGTAAGATAGTTAAGTTGTTAATAATTTCTTTATTGTTAATAAAATGTTCATCACTGCGGAACATATGTTTAAATAATGGATTAGATAAGACATTAGATAACTATAAACCACTTTATGTTGATGAAAATGGTAGCTGTATGTTAGATCCTAATGTTAAATATGAATTTTTATCAAAAACATCAAATTTATTATCAAAAGAAGATCCTCATGAAAAAGGATTTTTACCACATTTAAACAAATATTTTACTGAATTTTGTCGTAAGTACTACAGAATCACCATTATACCTAAGGGAAATCAATGTTTAGATTCCTCTATAGTATTTCAATTTAATCTTGCAGTTGCAATTGTTACAAATGTAAGTAGAAAAAGTTCAAGTGTGAAAAATTTTTATCATAAATTTGATAACGCATCTAAGTATATTGAAGAAATGTTTAACTGGACTATTTTTATGGTATGTAGTGCTGCACACTCAAAATATAAATCTAATGATGTATATTTTATACAAGATGAAAAAGACAAAATTTTTAATGAGAATCTTTTTTTTATCGAAAATAATGATTATGAAAAAGAACCTTACAATAACTTTGTTTATTCATATAATGAGAGGATAAAAAAAATAGTATTTTTATTAAAAAAGAGATTGTATTTAATTGAAAAATTTAAAAAGGAAATTGATTATTATGAATCACAATATAAAAAGATTGATGATGTTGCATTTAAAGTAATAAACCATATATTTGGCTATGACAGAAGAAATGAAAAAAGTATTCAAAGATTTATTAGAGAGAAAAGAACAGAAATTGTTAATTCTCTTGTTTGTGATTTAACTTCTTTAGGGGTTTCAGAAGCTCCTCATTGTTTAATAACTAAAATTTTAATGGAACACATGGAAATGGATGATATTTTTACAATTGCTTATGTAATCATGGCTTTGAGTGATTATAATGAGGATCAATCAAATAATTTTTCAATGACTATCAAAAACGATGTTCTTTTTACTTGTTTGAATTTAAACAACTTTAATAAAAAATTAAAACCTGTTTTTGAAAACGATGACAAAGATTTTATGATTGGATTAAGAGAAATCAGAAGTTCCAGAAAAATAAGTTTAATCATAAAAAGTTTTTTACTTGATATTTTAAGTTATTTTTACTAGATTGATTCCAATGATTGAGTTTAGAAATTAGTTTTATTACTAATTATAAAATGTTTTATTCAATTATTTTTTAGTTTATTTTTATCAATTTTTATGTTTATTATTGAAATTTTTTAATGCCTTTTATATATGGCAGGAGTGGATGAAATTACTAAAGTTGATTTAAATAAAAAACTAAATTTATTCAATTCGTTTAATGATGATCAACAGAAGGTAATTAGGGAATTGTTTTTTAGGGATCAGAAAAAAGTCATTACTGAGGTTATAGGTTCTTTTAACTATGGTGTTCTCTTTCCTTCTTCTTTTGGTGCTTGTTTTAGATCTGATAATGGTGCTATTGAAGTTGTGGATAAAGACTTAGTTAGTACTAATTTTAGATTCTCTGATAATATACTCGAGGTACCTGCTCAAATTGATTTGTTGTGTAGAATTATTTTTACTAAGAAATTTAATCAGAAGGGTCTTTTTAGAGTTAATACTGTTGCTGATAAGATGAAAACTGCGAGAACATTATTGTATGATATTTTAGAAGGTCGTGTCAGTGAAGAAACTGGTATTGGTTTATTTGATAAGAATTTTGATCTTATTGATTGTTGTGAGCTTTACAAACTTTTACTGAGATCATTTAATAAAACTGTAATTCCTTTGTCTTTTATAAAGCCTATTATAGAAGCTTCTAAGGAAACTGATTTAGAAAAGAAAATGATTGCATCTAAAGCTATTTTTTACTCATTACCTACCCATAATCGAAAAATACTCGAATCTAACATATTTCTCTGCTATAAAATATGTCAGATAACCCATTCACAAGAGAATGTTAAAGAACAATTAGATCTTGATGGATTAGCAATTGTTATGATGCCAAATTTATTTTTAGAAAATGAAAATGATTTTGAAATTGACTCAATTATTCAATTAGTTAGTTTTGCTAAGTTTTTATTTGCAAATATATTTGATATTATGGATGTTGATGAAAAGTATAAAAATGCTAATAAATGAATTTTATTATAAAAATTTTTTATTATATTTTTTGATGATTAATATCACTAAGCATGCTTATATACTG